ACAACCATCACCTACCTCCATGGTTGAGGGTAAGTCTCTGTTTAAAACACAGGCAGGGGCCAAAGGCGGTGCTCAGTGGGTAACAGAAACCACACAAAGGAGGAGGGAGAGAACTGACTCCATACAACAGTCCTCCGACTTCCACAGATATGCCATAGTACGTGTGCCACACACACAGCAGCAGCAATGATAACTTAATAATTTTAAAGAATTAAAAAAAAATGTCTCAGTGGGCAAGAGCACTGGCTGCTTTGCCGAACGACCCAGGTTCAATGTCCAGCACCCGCGTGGCAGCTCACAACTGAGTCTCACAGCTCAGCTTCCAGAGGATGTGGTACCCTCACACAGACAGACATACAAGCATGACACCAACGCACATAAAAATAAATTTTTAAAAATCTTTAAAAATTAAAAATAAATAAAAATTAAAACATGTAAAACTTAGAACACATATAAGGACCTGGTATTTATTGCTGCTGAATAAAACTGAATCCCCGGTCCCTCATTTTTCTTTTTCCTTGCTGAGGCTCTGACTTAATAACCCCTCAAATAACCATCACTGATGTGTCCACCTAGTTGCTCCTCAATGTCTTGAAGGTTCAACCGACTGCTGCATTACACGTATTCAATTTTCTGTCAAAAGGTTCTGTTTCGCTTCATCCCACTCTCTTAACTGGATCCCCCTATGTAGGCTCTCATAGGTCCTAGCCTGGAATGCAACACCAAAGAGCCAACAGCCACCCATGGGGGACATACACTAGGCTGGAAGCGTGGACTCCATGCTGACAACTCCTGACCTCTGGGCTGACAGCAGCTCTTCATTCAACTGTATGATCCTGTGACACCAGCTACCATTTAGGACCACCCGCTGTGACCAGGCATCACACTGAGCATAGCAACAACCGACATTAGACGTGGGATCTGCACCCAAGACACTCCAGCCTTGCTGAGGAACGTACCCTTTCAACAAGCGCAAAAAATAGAGCCTGGCGGAGTTAGGAGGGGAAAAAAATAACTTGAGCCAAGATAGGACCATTCCTGAGCTGCCTCATCCCCCCTCCACACCCTCCCTGCTTACGTTCCTCGCTTCTCACCCCACCCCGAGTCTCTTGCTGCCTAATTTCACCCATCCCTCTAGCTTTAAACATCTGTACACTGGTTTTCAACTTCCTATCTTCATCCCAGGCCCATCCACTAAGGTCCAGACTCAGGAGACAACTGCCCAGTGGTGGCTGTCTCATTTGAGTCTGACTTGGTGCAAAGCACTTGCCTCGCATATACAAGGTCCTGGATTTGGTCCTCAACACAAACAAAAGAAAAGAGAAACTTAGACGCATATAAAAACAACCTAACCATTTAACACACACACACACACACACACACACACACACACGTAAGACAGCCATTGCTTTCTTGCTTTGCGCCCAGCCCACTTCACGCCCACAGGTTTTCTTCAAGTCCTCCCACTCCAGGAAGTCGGCCTAGATGTCTGAGCCATCTACTTAGATGCTGGGGTCTTTCCCTCACTCCTCTCTTTCCTTTACCCTCTGGAAACACTCCATTAGCGTGGTAGTAGGCTCAAGAATTATCTTCTCAGTGTCTATCTGTTTATTTTCTGCCGCAGGAATGCCCCCCTTAAATGCAAGAACCTTGTTTTCCTTTCCGTCTCTTTGTTTGTTTTATTTTTCCTGCTGAACCCTTGGACTGTGAAACTGGACTTGTCAATGGCTGGTCCCTAGATAAATATTTGTTAAGTGGCTGAGAATGTCAAGGGAAGGTGGCACAATGGAGGTGACAGTTGAGCTGGGGCCCAAAATAGAAAGGGGAGTTCCCTTCCTCTGCAGAGAACACGGGAGGAAACCAGGAAACCGTACAAAGGCAAAGCGGGTCTCTAAAAAGCTGAGCATCTGGGATGCTGGAACCTCAAGTTCAGTAATGTTTACACTGAGTCCTAACTCAGACTCTGTCTAATCCATCTCAAAGATGTATTTTAAAAGATGTGTCTTAGGCTATTTTCTAGTTCTAGGTTTCTGTTTCTAGTTTCTGTTTTCATCTCTCAGTTCTAATGGTGGATGCCCAAAATCTAGAAGCCACATCTGGTGGGATCCTTTTTTCTGGCAGGGCCTCTGCAGAGGTAGCATGGTCCCACACAGTAAGAGGTGACTAGGTAAGAAATAGAGCCAACTTGGCTTGCATGACAGACCTGCTCTCAAGATAACCCATTAGCCCACTAATCCACTAATCTGTAAGCGGATTAATCCACTCATGGAGGCAAAACTCTTAGGACCTAATTACTTCTTCAAGGTCCCACCTCTTAGTACCTCAGAGTATTAAGCGGAGATTAAATTTCAAATTTTAACATGAAATTTGGTGGGGATATACAGACTCATCCCTGACCTGAACACAATGGAGCTGATACTAGGACCTTCTTCAGAGAGTCCTTGACAGTGATATGAATATGTAATGAGTGGTATGTTGTGTTATTAATCTTGATACACCGTATTCGTAGTTTATACGGTCAGAAGAGGAGCTGTATGATTATAACAGGTCAGATTAGAGGTAAATCACTTAAAGCTAGGAATTGTCAAACCGTCTAGCAGTAATGACCAGCTGACCATGTTTTTTGTCGTTTATTCTGTGAGCAAAATGTTGGACAAAAGGAAGTTCTCACTTGCAAAGCCAGTTTCTGCTTTTCCACAAGCAAAGCAGCAGTCAATGTGGAGTAGACATGAGAGTTATATGTCAGCTGGCTATGGCTGCATCATGATTGTCTCCAAGGGGGGGGGAGAGAAAGAGAGAGAGAGAGAGAGAGAGAGAGAGAGAGAGAGAGAGAGAGAGAGAGAATGAGTTAGGTTGATGTTACAAAACTTCTGTGGGGTCAGAAACCCTACTAAGCTACACCATTTGGCTTAGGATCAGGGTATCAACATGTGTCAGTCATGTAAAGTCAGTCATATGAAGGCCTTCTGAACCAAAACTGGAAGCTTCACTTCCAATATGGTCCACATGGTTGAAAAAGTCAGGCTAGTTTATAACAGGGAGCCCTTCCCACAGGATTGCTTGGGTGTCCTCAAAGGTTACAGTTTCTCCCAATGGGCTACCCAAAGAGGGCAAAGAGGAAGACACAATGTCTTCATTACCTGGGCTCTGATGTCATTTTTCTATAGATGTTCTACAATGCCCATTGGTTGCCAGGTCAGTCCTATGTATTATGGGATGGCAATGAGAGCACAGTTTCTCTCCAGTGGTTCTGATTCTTCCAGAAAACTGGGAACTGAAGCCAGTAGGGCACCATCTTGGACCTGGCTACCACTATTGATCAAAAGTGAATCAAAATAACCACAAAGTCAAATGACTATGCTGAAGAAAAGTCCAAAACCATAGAAGGTGACTGAGAAAGGAATAAGGCATACACACCGATGACAGGATGACTGACAGCTGTCACTCATCAAAGGCCTCCTTTGCTGTACATGTCCAGGTTCGCTTATATCAACTTTATATATGCTAGAGTCATTTGGGAAGAAAGACTTTCAATTAAGAAAATGCAAGACATACAGGCAAAGTCTATAGTGCATTTTCTTAGTTAATGATTTATCTGGGAGGACCCAGCCCATTGTGGGTAGGGCCACCCCTGGGCAGGTGGTCCTGGGTTCCATTAAAAAGTAAGCTGAGCAGCCGGGCAGTGGTGGCGCACACCTTTAATCCCAGCACTTGGGAGGCAGAGCCAGGTGGATTTCTGAGTTTGAGGCCAGCCTGGTCTACATAGTGAGTTCCAGGACAGCCAGGGCTATACAGAGAAACCCTGTCTCAAAAAACCAAAAAAAAAAAAAAAAAAAAAAAAAAAAGCAGGGAGCAATTGAATAAGCAACGCCCCTCCACCCCCATGGCCTCTGCATCAGCTCCTGCCTCCAGGGTCCTGCCCTGTTTGAGGTCCTGCCCTGACTTTCCTCAAAGGACTATGATGTGGAACTGTAAATTGTAATAAATCTTTTCTTCTCCAAGTTGCTTTAGGTCATGATATTTTATCACAGCAATAGAAAAGAAACCTTAACTAAAACACTAGGCAAGGAGTTGAAGAGATGGCTCAGAGGTTAAGAGCACTGCTTGTTCTTACAGAGGTCCCTGATTCAATTCCCAGCACCCACATGGCAGTTCACAACTGTCTATAATTCCAGTTCCAGAAGATCTGATGGCCTCACACAAATATGCAAGCAAAACACCAGTGCACATAAAAAGTAATTTTTAAAAAATCATAAAAGAAATTTTTTTTAAGTAGACAAAAGGCAACGCTTTCTGTGTGACATTTCTGGGATGGACCCTCTGCATTCTAGAGCAAATTAAGTCCTACTGAGTGACAGTCACTCTCCTTCAGATGAGAGTGGCTGCTCAGGGTGGCATGGGGGTACTGGAAGCCACACCCACTCCAGCATTCTGTCTGTGGCTCCTTTTTTACATTTGTCTGAGTCACTGTGACAGAAGCTGTATGATCTATGAAGCCTAAAATATCACCATCCACTCCTCCCCAGAAAAGAGAAAAACACACACCCATGCTCTGAGCCCTTAAAAACCTCTTGTAATAAAGTCTCTTCATGGCTGGAGAGATGGCTCACCATTTAAGAATACTTGTTGCTTTTGCAGAGAACACAGGCTCAGCTACCAGCACCTACTTACATGGTGGTTCACACCCATCTGCAGCTCCAGTTCTAGGGAACTGGATGCCCTCTTCTGGCATTGGTGGGTACCAGGCACACACATGCCACACACAGGCATATGCACACGCGTGTGCGCGCACACACACACACACATATACAAAACACTCCTACACATAAGCTAAATAAGTGTAAACAGAATTTCTCTCTTAAAGGAGATTACCTTCTTCTCATAAACAAAGAAAATGAAGACCAGACAGGTTCTGATTTGCCAAGAATCACATTGGTTGCAGGTAGCAGGACAGAATTATATCTGAGCAGCCTGACTGCAGAGTTGTAACAGACAAGAGATAAAAGAGGTTTGATCTTTATTTTGGTTGTTGTTGTTTGGGCTTTAGGGTGTCTCATTTTGTTTTGTTTTGTGGTGGATACATAGGCTTTTTTTAATAGCTTTCTGATGAGTGACTCCACCCCGAGGTCAAAGGACAAAGGTGACCATAGAATAGAGTCACAAGCACCTTGCAAAAGCAACCAAGGTTAAGTCCTCTTTGCGGTAATTCTTGGGCCCAGAAGTTTATCAGATTTCAGGGGTGGGGTGGACTATTGCTTTGTTTTGTTGTTGTTTGTATTCTGTAGGATACCTGCACAGGTTTTACTTGATGAGCACTCCGAATGCAGAAATCTGAGCATGATACTCAAACGGTTTTGGATTCTGGGACCTTTCAGAATTCAGCTTTTAAAAGTCATCATCTAATATTAACACATGAAAGGAAAAATATCAGAGAAACTAATTAACAGCTCTCAGTTATCCCAAAACCTAGGAACTTATTACAGTTTGAGGTTGGATGGATGCACGGTTCCTCGGGTGGTTTCTAGAACCCTTGCACTCAGCTGCTGCCTTCAGCCAGAGCACTGGTTGGTTCTCAACCAGGGTGATCCTGGCCCAATGACCCAGGATGCTTGGAATGCCCAAAGACAATGGTGATGGTTATGGCTGGTTTCTACTAGGTAGAAGCCATGTGTGGTGCATGACATGTAGCTCCCTGCCCCTATCACCACCACAACAAAGAAATCATCTGGTCCTAAATGTCAGTAGTATCTCAGTTGAGAAACTTGAACTTGCTAATCAACTGGTTCAGGAAAATTCAGGATGTTGTCACTCATGCTGGTAATGGCTGAGGCCACAGTTCTCCTCCACCTGGTCTCTTGTCCTCTCATAATTTTAAACTACTGCAGCAAGATCTCAAGTTAAATGGACAGGGCTTGGAGTCCAAGACCTCCAGAGAGCAGAGTACTGAAGATCCCTCGGGATCACTTGAGTCACATTCTGTTGACTGGAGCAAGTCGCAAGGTCGTCCCAGGAAGAGCATTCCCAGCCACAGCTACTGCACAGTGGGTCTGCAGGTGAGGTGAGTGGGAGTTTGCACAAGCCAGGTAGGGCAGCCAGGCCTCCTAGGAAGCTGGACAGGAGAAAAGAGACAAAAGTTTCAGCTTGGGTTTCCTTGCTAAAAATATAACAAGGAAAAATAATATTAAGTAAGATAATAGATTAGGAGACTGTGTGTGTACATGTGTGTACATGTGTGTACATGTGTGTACATGTGTGTTCAGATGTGTGCATGTGCATGTGGAGGCAAAGGGACAGCTTCAGCTGTCATTCCTCAAGTTCCAGCTACATTGCTTTAAAAAAAAAAGTTACTTAACACGTATGAGTGTTTTGCCTGTATACAGAATACATGTATTGCATGTATGTCTGCATACTTCATGCAAGCTTGGTGCCAGCTGTAAGATGGTGTCAGAGTCTCTAAAACTGGAGCTAAGATGGTTATGAGCTGCCATATAGGTGCCAGGAATCGAACCTGGGTCCTCTGGACGAGCTGAGCCATCTCTCCAGCCCTTATCTTGCTTTTTACTATTTATCTATTTTTATTTTATGTGCATTGGTGTTTTGACTGCATGCATGTCTTGTGAGGGTGTTGGATCTCTGGAACATGAGTTACAGACAGTTGTGAGCTACCATGCTGGGAATTGAACTCAGGTCCTCTGGAAGATCAGCCAGTACTCTTAACTACTGAGCCATCTCTCCAGCCCCCCTCTTCCTTACTTTTTGTGAAAGTTTTTCACTGGAATGGAGCTTGCTAAGTAGACTAGGCTGTCTGCCCAGCAAGACCCAGGGAGCCACCTGCCTCTCACTCCCCACTGCCTGGATTACAAGCATATGCCATCATGCCCAACTCCCCCCTCCCCCACAGAGGTTTTGAGGGATTCAATTCAGATCATCAGGCTTGTACGGCAAGCCCTTTACCAACTTCACCCCAGTCCATAATGAGTGGATGCATGTGTGCGTGTGTTGTGTGTGTGTGAGCATGCGTGTGTGTTGTGTGTGTGTGTGTGTGTGTGTGTGCAGTTGTGTAAGGGGGACCCGTCCCAGACACTCTTCCTCTTTATAAACCCAGGAATGTTCAGACATCTTCTATAGAACAGTGTGGTATTTGCATAGCACCCACCCAGTGTCTCCCATATGATCTAACTCTTCTCTGGAGGGTCTGGAATGCCTAATATCGGTCAAATGTTATGTAAGTACTTGTACTGTATGGTTTGACAATTTTGATAAGAAAAGCCCTATACAAGTTTGGTGCAGACACGAGTTTTTCCAAATATATTCAAGCTCAGGTTGATTGACTCTGTGGGTGATGAGTTCTGGCACGTAGGAAGCCGGCTGCACCAACAGAGCCCGGTTGGGACATTTCCATCCTCATTCCAGGACTTATATTTACACCACAGTACAGGTGTATGATCCTGGTGAGTGCCTTGTCTTCCAGAAGCCTTGCCCCAAGCTTCAGAGTATGAATGAGGAGGACAAGCCCTTCCTTCCGCTGCTGCCTCTGAGTCCCACCTTGGTGGTTTCCATGATTAGGTTATGTTGATGCTGCTGTCATTGTTTCATGCAAGTCACTGAAACAGCTTCCACCTTGGACAGGCTGCACAGTGGAGCCGCCCTCTCCCAGCTGGTGCTCCATGAAGAAGCCTGAAAGCCCCTGAGCATCATCGAGGCACCACACTGAAGAATGACAAATGGGCCTCAAGCTCCAAGGCAGAAGGGCTGCCAGCCCCTCAGTGTGTACAACCCGTTCAAGCAAGATGAATTCAATCCCTGACAAGCCACACTGATCAACCAACATAGCTCGGCAACCTTAAATATTCACCATCTCCAGATCAGGTACCAATTGGCCACAGTGTTGCAATGTGTGCTGATGCTTCCCCAGGCAGGAGTCTGTGAGCAGCAGCCAGTGTCAGGGATGCCCTGCCAGAAACACCGGACAGAGAGTTTAAACACAGGGTAGCAGAAGTCAGAGGGATCTGGAGTCCTTTCTACCCTTGGTACTTCTATTTAAATGTATCGAGAGGCTGCATAAATATATTATGTACAGTACAGATTCTATTATTTTGAGAATTGAGTCTAAGTGTACTGAATGATGGCTGGTAGTTCTTCTAACTTTGAGCTTCTTAGGTTCAGTGTGGGAGAGTCCCTGGCACTATTGGCGCCTAACACAGTCACCATTCTCACACTTAAGCTGACTTCCTAGCACAAACTGCTTCTGCATAAACAGCCCAGCACCTCCCCGATGAAAACTTTCCATTTGTCTCCTTAGTCTTGGGAGGGGCTGGGGGAGTTACTGACCTTTTATTCCTTGTCGCTAGGAGAAAACAGTGATGACATCTTTTTGGCTGGATGGAACTGATGGAAGATTTATGGGGCAGCTGAGAACTGTCAGAGCCAGACCCAGCAGATTCCCTAAGACAATGACCACGGCCTTTTCAGCAGGGAGCACACTGCTTTCTGGAATTGCCTAACACAAGAGAGAGAAAGTCCTATCTACCCAGCCATCAGTGAGGTTATCCCTGTACCCCACAGCTGCTGCCACCCAATCTGAAGGTTCCTGCTTCTGCTCTTGAAAGATTGTATGTGGCCACACAGAAGTCTTAGCTGTCACCCACCATCAAACCCCCTGGCCCCAGTCTGGGACCCATAGCCCTCCAGGAGTGGGAAACTTCATCCTATACCTTCTCAGTCACAGGGATTTCAGAAATTAGTCACAGGAAGCGGGGAGGAGAAGAGTGGAGGCTTCCAAGAGGAACCAGTAACAGGATCTGGGGGTCTTTCACCACAGGTCACAGCAGCTTAGCCTGCCCCTGAGGTAGGGATGAGTGGTCAGGGATGGAGCCAGCCTCCCCAAGGCCTCTGCCAGCAGCAAGAGCTTTTGGGAAGTGGGACTATAGCCAGGGAGTCATCCTCGTCACTGAATGCCCTCTTCCCTATCTCAGACGTCTGTCCTAATGCTCCCAACTCTGAGATAGACACATATGGTAGATTGGAGCCCAGAACCCAGCATGTGTCTGACTCCCAGACCTCCCCTCATGAATAAACACTGAGACACTCTATGACTCTGTTGCATCTCAGAGCACAGGATACTCTCAGACGTCCCAGAATTGTCACCAGCAGTCTGCCTTTCACTCATCAACATCTCATGTGGACAGACAGTAAATGACAATCATTCTAAAGGGATGAGAATGTTGTGGGCTGATAGAGGCAGAAGGCACTATCCTCTATATAGATAGATAGATAGATAGATAGATAGATAGATAGATAGATGATAGATAGATGGATAGATCAGAGACACAAGCCAAATATCTACCAACAGAAAAAATTTAATAAGTTCTGGTTTATGGTTATGGATTACTAGCATCCATTTTTTAAAAACTGAGGTATGCTCAAACCACCATAGCAGCCACCCCTCATCAAAGAAGCCTCTCTTCATAGCAAATGGAAACCATCAGAAAACCACAACTGGACACTATGCAGAAATCAGCAGGTCGTGGGAGCCACGCCCCAGTGAATGCATCTACATCACAACTCCCTAAGTCTGTGACTTAGGAAGCATCACGGGAGAGGGGGCAGAGGGCAGGAGCCAGGACACTAGGAAGACTGCTGTGAAACAGCCCTAGAAATGGCTGCAAAAATAAGACCTGAACAACCTCAACACCAGTGAGCATGTTAACGTGGAAGGGGAAATCCCACGGGACCTTATCCTTAGACAAAGAACTTAGGCACCTAATGACTGCTGGGAGAAGCCTTACCCTCTCCAAGGAATCAGCCCCCTTATTGGTTGCCCAATGTAAAGCAGTAGCCTTGATACACATCACCAAGAACAGACTCAGCAGGTTGTGCTTTTATTTATGTATTTGTGCACGCACATATGTACATACACACAAGCATATGTGAGTAGCAATACTAATCAAAAAGAGGCTATCAGACTTGAGGGGGACATAGGAGTGATTCAAGGGAGGGTGTCTGGGAGGAGATGGAGGGGAGAAACAGAGAGGAGAAAGTGATGTAATTCTATTTCAACTAAAAATAAGGGGCTGGAGAGATGGCTCAGTGGTTATGAGCACTGGCTGCTCTTCCACTGGGTTCAACTCCCAGAACCCACATGACAGCTCACAACTGTCTGTAAGTCCAGTTCTAGGGAATCTGATATCCTCATTTAGACATACACACAGGCAAAACACCAATGCACATAAATTAAATGAATAAATAAATAAAATTTAAAAGAACATATTCATAGCTGGGCATGGCAGCACATGCTCTTAATGGGAGCAGAGGCAGGTGGATCTCTGCGAGTAGGTATGAGACCAGTCTGGTCTACTTAATTCTGGACCAGTCAGTCACACAGTGAGGCAGGAGGAGTGGATATATTCATGACATATGTACTTTTAACATAATAGAAATCTTGGCTGTGTGATAGCGGTGCTTGCCTTTAATCCCACCACTTGGGAGGCAAAGACAGGTAGGTTTCTGAGGTCAAGGCCAGGTTGGTCTCCAGTACAGTCAGGGTTACACAGAGAAACCCTGTCTCGAAAACAACACAAACAAACAAAAAAGAAAATAATAGAAATCTTGAATGTTGATAGTAAGGAGAATGACTATGAGATAAGAAATTAAGTCCATTTATTATTTTCCTCATCCAAGGGGTTCTTACCTTTTATGTTTATATTTATTTATATATAATATATATTTATATATATAATATATTTATATACTTATATTTTATTTATTTTTATTTATTTATATATAATATATTTTTTATATATTCATGTTCATGTGTGTATGTGTACATGCATGTTCGTGTGTGTGTGTGTGTGTGCAGGCCAAAGACTACCTCTGCACTACCTCCTTAGGAATCCTGTCACCTCCACTGAGAGGACATTTCCCCTTGGCCTGGAGACCACCTATTAGGCTAGGCTGTCAATCCAGGTAACACCAGAATCCTCCTGACTGGACCTTTCCTGCTCTGCCCACCATGACCAGGGCATTTTTATGTGAGTGCTAAGCCCCAATATCATTTACTTTTTTTTTTCTTTAGTTGATGTCCTTTGTGGACGCTAAGGATTAACTCCA